TGGTTTGACCTTCTTGCTGGAGTCTTCTCCAGCACTATAGTTCAAAGGCATCAATTCTTTGGTGTTCTGCCTTCTTTACGGTCCAGCTCTCACAACCGTATGTTCTTAGAATGGTTCAAATAAAAGCTCCCTATTAGTACTTTGCCCAGCGTTGTAGAACTTCACCCTATTTCTGTGTCTCATAGATATTAACAACATATTCAAGCCAATTCCATGCAGATTTCTAAAGGCCTTTCTCTGGAAAGCTTTCTCACTTTTGAACTTCATCCCTCAAAATTCCAGACACTCTGATCTCCCAAAAATCCAATCTCTTTCTCCTCAAATCCACAAGACAGCTATGCTTTCCTCCTGCTGTAAGGCCTGGAAAGTAGATCCAGGCAAAACACGAGGGCATTTATAAGGCTCTCCTAGTATTCCCTTCTCTCATGGGTCACAGTTCTGCACTGATTATTGTCCAGTATCTGAGAATGACTATTTAAGATCTTTGGTTTAGTTTTCTAGTTGTTTAAGGCAGGAGAACACAACTAGCACCTGCAAATAGTCATAGCTAGAGGTAGAAATGCCCATGCTTCATATATAGCTCAACATTGTGCATTAAGCCTTCAATATGGGAGGAGTTGTTTAAAAGGGAAATCTTAAATTCCTAGTTAATACTGTGCAGGTAAAATGATAATAGAAATACATTTCAGAAATGGACAATTTTTTAACATAATAAAGAATGGATTGGAAGTACTAGAAGAGCTGTTAATGTTCTCAATGCCCATAATGTGATCTTCCTTTTTGGGTGGGTGGGGGTGCTGAGTGAAATGCAGGATCTTAGTTGCTTGACCAGGGACTGAACCTGTGTCCCCTGTATTGGAAGCATGAAGTCTTAACCACTGAACCAAGACAGAAGTCACAACATGTTCTTACTCTTAAGGGAAAGAGAAACAGACCAAATCTTTTGAAAATAGCTATGCATTATAGCCTATTAGCAGGCTACTGTATTCTCCTTTCTGACATTGTTATTTACTATCATATAATAATCAAATTAATTTTAATTATCATGTGATTTCTGCTTTATTCCCATGTTCATCTGAAGGTTTTTCCTACACGATACAGAAGAGAAATAGGAAAAGTTAACCTCAAAATCATGTTTGAGAGGACTTTACAGATACTCTCTTGTCTACTGATATGCAAGGAAGAAACTCGTGGAAACAGCTTTCCTAGTGTAAGCTAACACTGCCATCTCAATTAGATACCAATCCAACTGATCAGAGAATTTCCAAGATTAAATTTTAGAGAGGAGCAGATAACTCCCCAGAAGTACATTGATAACCCTAGATATAGTAGGACATTACCTACAGCAGATTGAACAAACTGATGAGGGCAATCTAATCATTTCATATTCATCTTTTCCTTTTGGAAACTGTTGGTACTCCTTTCTTCATATTTGGCCACATCGTGTGACTTGTGGGATCTTCGTTTCCTGACTAGGGGTTGAACCCAGGCCCTCAGCAGTGAAAGTGCTGAGTCCTAACCATTGTACCACCAGGTGGGGATTCCCTGTTAGTATTCTTTAAAACATTCTACTTCGTCAGGGGTGTATGAGAAAACCCATTCTCTTTTGACTTTTTTTCTGTTACACTTGTGCAAAACATTCTTTTATTTAGTAATTTGTTCTCACCACCCCTCTGAATTCAGGTAAAATTTGCTTTTACTGAGCCACTATGTTTCACGGCAATACAGTCTTTAGCAAAAACTGAAAATATGTACTCCTTTACACTGGGAGATAATGGAAAAATTGATTGTGTCATCAAGGTCATAACTGAAGGGCCACATTTGAGAATACATGTCATTCAATCCAAAAGAACAAGCCACCAGTCCCCACTAAGGACACATGCATAACTGGTATTTGGAATCAAAGCCTACAGCTTTCCTAGGCAAACAGTTTGGTGTCCCTTGTTGTACTCTATCCCAGCATTATAGTAGGAAGAAAGATCACTGATTACCAGGAACAGGAGAGAGAAATTTGCCCACATTTGTAGGTATATGTGTGAAACCTGATTCAAGAGAACTTCTCAAGTCATAGTAAGAATAAGAGTCTGGAACAGTAGGAACTATTTAAAATGAAATTCTAGATTCCCTATACATGCTCTAGACAGAACCTCATTTATTAAGCTTAATAGTTATTTAACACAATCTGAATCAAGATTTGCTGTTTATACAACAATAAATGTTATATATATTAACTGATCCTTTAAACTGCACTGGATGCAAATTAACAAGGTTAAATAACACAAAATCACAACAAGACCCTCCTCTAAATAATCTACAGAAGTTATTTATGAGCACAAGAGGGAACCTAAATTATTCAAAACTTAGAAATGAAGCATAAGTTCATTGCTGAACCCTCCAATATCGTAGCACACTGTTTAAACAAGCACACCTAAAGATCATCTGACAGGAATGTACCTTTCTTTGAACTGCTCTGTCCAATACTTTGGCCACCTGAGGCAAAGAACTGACTCACTGGAAAAGATCCTGATGCTGGGAGGGATTGGGGGCAGGAGGAGAAGGGGACAACAGAGGATGAGATGGTTGGATGACATCACACCAACTCAACGGACATGACGTTGAGTAAACTCTGGGAGTTGGTGATGGACAGGCAGGTTTGGCATGCTGCAATTCATGGGGTTGCGAAGAGTCGGACATGACTGAGTGATTAAACTGAACTGAACTGATTTACAATGTAAAGTTAGATGTTGACTTCTAGAAAACTGATAAAAGAGGACAGGATTTTTGTCTAGTAGAGATGCAAATGAGTTTTCATAGAGAAGACAACTCTAAAATTAAGTTTTATTGTCACAGAGTGTATTAACTGAAATAATACACTAGGTTTGTATCCAACTTAGCAATGCAATTCTTAGCATTTCTTTGTTGCACTGAGAATTTTGCACGCTGGTTTCTCACTTTTCTCTTGACTGGGTTTCGTCATCCTGTTTGTTCTCATATTAATGTGCTAAATAAAACTTGTACCTAGTTCATTATCTTTATGCATGAGATAAATTTCTCTGTAATCTTGAGATTTATACTTTCACAAAAGGATATAAAAATGTTCCACACAAAGGTTGGTTTTACTAAAAAATAGGAACTCAGCTGAGCTTCCAAGGACAACTCCCAGAACTTCAGTATCTATTTTTATTTCATTATAGATCAGATTAGGTATCTAATTCTCACAAGTAATCTCAAGAATAGTAATTATACTGACAAATGATAATCAACTCACCACCACTATCAATCCATAACTATACACAACCAATAAAGAGCACCCAGAAAAACCTTCGCAAACAAAACCTATTTCTTTACTATGAAAAATTATCCAAACATCCAAATCTTTTAAATCATGTGCCAACACCACCTTGACTTCCTGCCTGAACAACATGGAATCAAAGAAAGCTTTACTATGAAACCTAAAAATAAAGCCTCCTAGATAATCATATTTAAGTCAAGCTTTCAGATACCTTTCAGTAACCAGAATAATCGAAAAACTAAACACTGTAAACTTACCACCTAAACAAGCTAAAATAAAACTATTAATCCTATAAAATAAGCAAAACTTTATAACAACAAATCCAATTCCATCACTTACAATAAGACTCTCACAAACCATACATTACACATCAGATTAATAACGGCCTTTTCATTTGGAATACATGTTTGTTAAAACATTACCCAAGCAAACTGGTGAAAGTCGCTCAGTCATGTCCAACTCTTTGTGAACCATGGTCTATACAGTCCATGGAATTCTCTAGGGGTAGCCTTTCCCTTCTCCAGGGAATCTTCCTGACTCAGGGATTGAACCCAGGTCTCTCACATTGTGGGTGGATTCTTTACCAGCTGAGTTACAAGAGCAAAGTTTGCTATATGGCAAACTAAGCCTATACTAAAGAAGCCTCTCGAGTCTGTATGTTTCTATTTATTCATGTATGATGAGATTTATATAGAGCTTACACACACACAGAAACCTGGAATATCAGATGGATACCACTATTTCACACACGGAAACAGCATTTGTAGGCTATATACTCGTATGAGAATAGGTATTCTGAGGTGATACAGTCATTATAAACCAACATTTAGCTGGCCCTTATAGTAACACTTGTTGACAGAATGAATTTGAGGTGGATAGTTCTCTCTTTACCTAAGTCTTAACTTGTCACTTTTTAAACATGAAAAAGGATCAAGCCAGTCTTCAGGATTAACATGTAATATAAATAAAATTCCATTCCACCTAGAACATAAACAAAATTACCTGAAGATTTATTTTCCTAATTATACAATTATCTAATAAGAGAGCTATTACCACAGCTGACCCCCAGGTATTGTAGCTCTGCTGCCAGAGGCGCTAGCAATATGAACATCTGCTGTCTGGCCTGCTCAGATATTTGTTCTCTAAATCAAAGACTCAAAATGAGTATATCTGATTGGTAAAACCTAGGTTGCATGGATTCCCTATAAACATGATAACCTGGAAAATGTCAGTTGTTTTTTCTTAACTATCTTGAAAAGACAGGCTTGACTTTTTTACCCACTTTAAAACATTCAGGATAATTCTAAACTGTCTTACTCACACACTGCTGTATTCTCCTCATAACATGTTTTTCTGATTCTTTTCCCAGCATATATTCCCATCTCTTCTGTACCTCTCCTTTTGTCTCTCTCTCCTTCCCTTCCCCCTTCCTTTCCTCTTTCTCACACACACACACACACACACACACACTTCTTGCTCCACTCTACTGTAATATATGAAACAAACCACCATTATTGCCCATGGCTCCCCCCAGCAATAACCTTCCTTCAGATCAAATGATACCTTTGCATGAAGTTCTCCAATTCTCTCAGGTAGTATCACCTCACAAGGGCATCAAAATTATATTGTACACAGTGTATTTATTTCTAGGAATGTGACCACGTATAACAAAAGGATTCAGTTTTTTGACCTGGGAAATGTATCTTACCCATGCATCTGAAAACCACTTGCCCGCATTCAGAGTCGACAGGAAACTCCATTCAAAGAAGGAAGGGTTTCTACTGGAGGCATTTGGCATGACCTCCTTTATATTGGTTGTTCTTGTCAAGTCATAGTCATGCATGAGAAAAGGCACCCCATCAATACTGCAGGCATGGGGAGAAAAGGAAAATGGGAGAATTGGCAGAATACAGTCAACTTGGAAGACAGGGTTCTCAGAAAGCCCACCAAGGTCAGAAGTCTAACTAAGGTTCCTGACTCCCTCCCATATCACAACAAAGGACTAAGTGCCAATAATTTACACGATATCAGTATTTATCTGCCCTAGGGATCTCTTTTTGAGGTTTGTAAATATCATATTATTTATGGTGAAAGTGTAGCTTCCCTATCCAGGGATTTTTCAGAATGAAGAAAAAGGTAATGACCTGAGAATAAGGTGAGTAGGGTAGGGATGAGGTAAGGCCCTGTGCTCCCCAGAGCCACACGAACCAGTTCAGTTCAGTCACTCAGTCCTGTCGACTCTCTGCAACCCCATGGACTGCAGCATGCCAGGCCTCCCTGTCCATCACAAACTCCTGGAGTTAACTCAAACTCATGTCCATCCAGTCGGTGATGCCATCCAACCATCTCATCCTCTGTCATCCCCTTCTCCTCCGGCCTTCAATCTTTCCCAGCATCAGGATCTTTTTCAGTGAGTCAGTTCTTCGCATCAGGTGGCCAAAGTATTAGAGTTTCAGCTTCAGCATCAGTCCTTCCAATGAATAATCAGGACTGATTTCCTTTACGATGGACTGGTTGGATCTCCTTGCAGTCCAAGGGACTCTCAAGGGTCTTCTTCAACACCACAGTTCAAAAGCATCAATTCTTCACTCAGCTTTCTTTATAGTCCAACTCTCACATCCATACAAGACTACTGGAAAAACCACAGCTTTGACTAGATGGACCTTTGTTGNCCTGCACGGCAGTTTGAGCATTCTTTGGCATTGCCCTTCTTTGGGACTGAAATGAATACTGACATTTTCCAGTGCTGTGGCCTCTGCTGAATTTTCCAAATTTGCTGGCTTGTTGAGTGCAACACTTTCACAGCATCATCTTTTAAGATTTGAAATACCTCAGCTGGAATTCTATCACCTCCACTAGCTTTGTTCTTGGTGATTCTTTGTAAGGCCCACTTGACTTCACATTCCAGGATATCTGGCTCTAGGTGAGTGATCACACCATCGTGGTTACCTGGGTCATTAAGATCTTTTTTATATCGTTCCCCTGTGTGTTCTTGCTACCTCTTTTTAATATCTTCTGCTTCTGGTAGGTCCATACCATTTCTGTCCTTTATTGTGCTCATCTTTGCATGAAATGTTCCCTTGGTATCTCTAATTTTCTTGAAGGGATCTCTTGTCTTTCTCATTCTGTTGTTGTCCTCTATTTCTTTGCATTGATCACTGAGGAAGGCTTTCTTATCTTTCCTTGTTATTCTTTGGAACTCTGCATTCAAATGGGTATATCTTTCCTTTCTTCTTTGCCTTTAGCTTCTCTTCTTTTCTCAGCTACTTGTAAGGCTTCCTCAGACAGTCATTTTCCCTTTTTCCATTTCTTTCTCTTGGGGATGACCTTGATCAGTGCCTCCTGTGCAATGTCATGAACCTCCATCCATAGTTCTACAGGCATTCTATCAGATCTAATCCCTTGACTCTATTTGTCAATTCCATTGTATAATCCTAAGTGATTTGATTTAGGCCATACCTGAATGGTCTACTGGTTTTCCCTACTTTCTTCAATTTAAGTCTGAATTTGGCAATAAGGAGTTCATGATCTGAGCCACAGTCAGCTCCAAGTCTTATTTTTGCTGACTGTATAGATCTTCTTCCACCTTTGGCTGCAAAGAATATAATCAATCTGACTTCGGTATTGAACATCTGGTGATGTCCATGTGTAGAGTTGTCTCTTGTGTTGGTGGAAGAGGGTGTTTTCTATGACCAGTGCATTCTCTTGGCAAAGCTCTGTTGGCCTTTGCCCTGCTTCATTTTGTACCACCTTACCTGCCTCCTGAGAAATCTGTAAGCAGGTCAAGAAGCAAGTTAGAACCAGACATGGAACAACAAACTGGTTACAAGCTGAGGAAGGACTATATGAAGGCTGTATATTATCACCCTGTTTATTTAACTTATATGCAGAGTACATCATGCAAAATGCCAAGCTGGATGAAACACAAGCTGGAATCATGATTGCCTGGAGAAACAGCAATAATCTCAGATATGCAGATGACACCACCCTTACAGCAGAAAGCAAAGAGGACCTAAAGAGCCTCTTGATGAAAGTGGAAGAGGAGAGTGAAAAAGCTGGCTTAAAACTCAACATTCAAAAAATGAAGATCATGGCATCTGGTCCCATCACTCCATGGCAAACAGATGGGGAGACAATGGAAACAGTGAGAGACTTTATTTTCTTGGGTTCAAAATCACTGTGGAATGTGACTGAAGCCAGGAATTTAAAAGATGCTTACTCCTTGGAAGAAAAGCTGTGGCAAACTTAGACGGCATATTTAAAAGCAGAGACATCACTTTGCTGACAAAGGTCCATCTAGTCAAAGCTATGGTTTTTCCAGGAGTCATCTATGGATGTGACAGTTGGACCATAAAGAAAGTTGACCACCAAGGAACCTATGCTTTTTAACTGTGGTGTTGTAAAAGACTCTTGAGAGTCCCTTGGACTGCAAGGAGGTCAAGCCAATCAATCCTAAAGGAAATCAGTCCTGAATATTCATTGGAAGGACTGATGCTGAAGCTGAAACTCCAACACTTTGGTCACCTGATGGGAAGAACTGACTCACTGGAAAAGACCCTGATGCTGAGAAAGATGAAGGCAGGAGGAGAAGGGGACAACAGAGGATAAGATGGATTTGATGGACATGAGTTTGAGCAAGCTCCTGGAGTTGGTGATGGATAGGGAAGCCTGGCATGCTACAGTCCATGGGGTCCAAAGAGTCAGATATAACTGAGTGAATGAACTGAATTGAAGCGCATTTCAATCTCCTGTTGTTCAAGGGTCAACTATATACTCTTTGTATAATTTTGTGGTTGCCCAAAGATTCCAAATATGACCCAACAGATCACATTCTACTAGTATCAACCATCTACCACTTCAAGTATTATGTAGAAAATGGGATACTTTTTTAGGTCCCTTTACCCAACCTCCTTCCATTATGATATACATGTCTTAAATATCTCAAAATATACTGAGACCCATATATCAAACAATATTATCACTTTGTCTTTAACTACTGAACACAATTTTTAAACTCTGGAATAGAAGAATCACCTATTAATATTTATCTTTTTAAAAAGACGTTTATTATTTTTAGCTTGGCTGGGTCTTGCCTGCTGCACACGGGCTTCCTCTAGTTTCAGGAGTGGGTTTACTTTCCTTTGTGGTGGGCGTGCTTCTCATTGTGGTGGATTCTGCTGTCCCAGAGCACGAGCTCTAGGCATGCGCATTTCATTAGTTGTAGCATGCGGGCTCAACAGCTGTGGTGCACAGGCTTAGTTTTCCACATCTTCTGTGATCTTCCCAGACCAGGGATCTAACTGTGTCCCCTGCAGGGGCGAGTGGCTCCTGAACCACTGGACCACCAGAGCAGTTGCCACCTATGTATTTTTTACCCTTTTCTTTGCTTTTTTTTATTCTTCATGTTCCAAGCTGTTTTCCTTACCCTTGTTTTATTGAGATATAACTGACATATAGCATTGTATTATTTTTAGGTGTACATACAACATGATTTGATATATGCATAGGAGTGAATTTTAACATCATTATCTTTTTGTCTAAAGAATTTTTCATTTCCATTTGATTCTTCTTTACTTCTCTTTCTCTGCTAACACCTTCTACTTCTTCAACTAACAAGTATTCATTATTGTTTGTTGGACACATTTTATGATGGCTGCTTTAAAATTCTCAGAAATAATTCCAACATCTATTTCTCCTGCTGTTGACATCTATTGATTACCTTTTCTCACTGAAGCCGAGTTTTTTCTAGATCTTGCTATGGAAAACTCCCGAGCACTTTGAGTATTTGGAGATTTGAAATCTCATTAAAATCTATTTTAACAGAGATTCAACATGTCTAGGTTCAGAAAACATGTCCTGGACCACATTTGTAAGATATGGTTTAATGCCAACTTAGTTTTCAAAGGCTCTGCAGAAGTCAGTCTACAACACAGATAGTGTCCCAACCGATTCTCAAACCTTCTGCTGTGCTGTGTCTGTGTGGTTTCATGCATAGGTTATACAAAGGTCTGCCAAGGATTTTATGAACAGGTTTTTAAATTCCCTTTCTCTAGCATAGCAATTCCTCAGAAAACTAAACACAGATTTACCACGTGATCCAGTAATTCCACTTGGGTACACACTTAAAAGCACTGAAAACAAGTTCTTGAAAATATACTTGTACTCTAATGTTCATAGCAGCATTTTTCAAAACAGCCAAGAGGCAGAAGCAAGCCAAATGTCCATCAGAGGATAAATGAAGAAGCAAACTGTGATATATACACACAGTGGAATTCAATCTAAAAAGGGAAGGAAATCCTGTCACATGCCACAACACGGATGAAATCTGAGGAGTGAGTGAGTGAGTGAAGTCGCTCAGTCGTGTCCGACTCTTTGTGACCCTGTGGACCTACCAGGCTCCTCCATCCATGGGATTCTCCAGGCAAGAATACTGGAGTGGGCTGCTGAAATCTGAGGACATTATGCTAAATCAAACAAGAAATAGTCACGAAAAGACAAATACTGTATGATTCCACTTATGGGTGTTATTTAGGGAGTCTGATTCATAGGAACAAAAAGTAGAATGGTGGTAAGCAGGGGCTGAGGGCAGAAGGAAAGGTGGAATTGTTATTTAACAGGTATCAAGTTTCAGATTTGCAAGATGAACAAGTTCTATAGATTTGTTTCAAAAAATGTGAATACATTTGATACTACTAAACTGTACACTTAAAAGATAGTTATGATGGCAAATTTTGTTATGTGCTTTTTAAGAGAACTTTTAAAGGGAAGGAAATTCTGACAGATGCTACAATATAGATGAGTCTTGACATGCTAAAGTGAAATGAGCTATACTGACATCATGCTGATGTGAAATGAGCTTAACACAAAATAACAAATACTGTATGATTTCACAAAACAGTCAAATACATAGAGAAAAAATAATGATGGTTGCAAAGGCTTGGGTGGAGTTATTATTAACATCTAATAAATAGTTTTAGTCTGAGAAGATGAAAAGTGCTAGAGATCTATGTGGTGATGCTTAAAAGAAGATGGAGGTACTTAATGCCATTAAACTGTACCATAAAGATGGTTTAAATGGTAAATTTTATGTTAAGAATATTTTACAATAAAAAAATATTTTTTTCTGGAAAACTTTTCTCAATATTTCTCTGCTCACTCTCCAGCTGAAGAAGAAAGGAAACGGGTACCACCGCTTACATCAGAACAGAAATCATTACACGGATCTGCTCATGGTCTCCATAGCCAAAGCCACAAGCTGTGACAGGGTGGGGAGTGGTTTCTGTGTGGTATTCCCCTGAGTAGGACTGGTATAATCAAAACATTTATATCATATTGGATGACCCTTCTACCAGTTATTGGGCTAGAAGCAACAATTTTTGTGGAGCTCTTTTCTGTCTGTAGCTATAGATGTTTCCAGATCAGCTCTCTTCAGAGTTCATGTCAGGATACATTAGGAGAAACAGAAATTAGCAAGTGGAAACTCTCTGCCTATTATGAAGTTCCTTTGGTCTTATGAACCAAGCCAGTCCACATTCTATTCTTCACCATTCAGAGTCTTCTGTTAGTTGCTTTGTGAGTTTTGTCCAGTATCTTATTTTTTAAATTTTTTTGGTAATTAATGGAGAGAATAAGGTGGAATACACAGTAGTAGTTGCAATTTGCACATTCCCCAGAGTCCTGTGTCCCACTTTCAGTAGTTAGCCAATTTTACTACTTAGCAATTATAATATGATTTTTCCTATTCTAGTTATTTTTGTGGTATTCATGTCCCAACTAGACTATGACTGATAGGCAATATTTATTAATGATGAAGTACAGACGACAGCCATCAATGTGGATGGTGGAGACATGTAGAGGAGGTGGTCATGGGAAATGAAGATGTCAACAGAGAAACTGAGCAGTTGGGAAGATCATCTACAATGAAGTTGAAGTCCCAGAAGAGAAAAGGACAATGGGCCAGGAGCTCACTGTCTCAGCACCATGACCACATTAAGCCATGACCATGAGGAACTTGTACAATGAAATGGAAGCTCTGAAAGAGCATCCAGTTTCAATCCTGATTCAAATATTCTACATGAATAGTTGTCACCACTAACAAGAACCCTAGTCTGGGGTCAGGAAATCTAGTTCTAGTTCTGGCTTTATCATGTACATTCTAGCCTTATGTCCTCAGCAATACATTTCTCTTTTTTGAATTCAGGTTCAAACCACAGTGCTTCACTGTGAAACAGGATGTTCATTTCTTTTCTGTTTGCCTCACAGAAGGCTGGGAAGGGAGTAGTAAAGGCCACATTCTCTAATATAACCATCTGACAGTTCATCTCTATTTTTGGCTGCCCAAGTACATACATTCTACAGAAAAGCATGTGTTTTTTGTCCTCATTCCTGCTATGATACAAGTCTTCCTGCGTTGTCCCTTGGACATTGCTAGAGCTTACTGCCCAAATCCATGATGATTCTCCCTCACAGATTCTCAGAAAAGTCCTTCTAAAACAATAAGCTAATCTGTTCTCTAAAACCTACCATGGCTGCCCAGTACACATTTAGGGATCTCTGTGATCCAGTCTCAGTAAGCCTTGCAGCCATACCTTCCCTCTCACATAGGCCCCTCACATCCCCAAAGTGGACTACTCTTGGCATCCATACAGTCTAGCTCACGGATCTACAAACTTGCTATTTCTCCTTTGGATGCCTTTGACTAAGCTGTTGCCTCTGCCCAGAATATTCTCATTCTCCATCTCTGCTTGGGAAAATACTATTTTTCCTTCAAGACTCAACCCAAACACTGTTCTAAGCAAACAGATCATTTTTCACAAAAGAGGTGACCTCTTCCTCCTCCACTGAGGTTCCATTGCATTTGTCTTACTCTTCTCTGGAAGGCACTCACCACGAATGGTCCTATGCTGGGTTTATTTGTAAACATGCCATGTCTCCTTCACTGGCTGCAAACAGCTCTTAGGCATGACTCTGTCTCAATCCTCTGCCTCTCACTAGCGCTCAGAAGAAGGATATAGTAGGAACACAGGTGATGCTGAGGAAATGTTAGCTAAACAGATTGCTAAGCTAGGGCACAGAGGTAAGCTGCAAGGATGTTTGCAGGGAGGACAAATTTGAGCTATGTGTGGAGACTATATAGAGTGTGTGATTTATGAGCCTGTGATTGAGAATGTAGGGGTGTAGATATGGTCTGTAAAGGAGAAGTGATTCATGTATGTGTGTTATGTTCAGATGTGCCAGGTGAATAAGGGAGAAACTCCCAGGGCTTGTCCCCTCTACAGCTTGGGCCAAGCTGGAGTCATCCACTGGTCTTTTCTCCTCCCACTCTGGTCCCTTCTTTCCTACCTTATTTGTATATCACTCTCCAGTCCATGGGCCCCATATTCAACAGCTTTCTCAAAGGACATTATGGTATTCTCAGGCCCCAGCTGTGGAAGAAAAGGACATCAGGTCTTTAATCTCACAGTCTTTTCTGCCAACATCCATTTTAGCATAGGAAGGCGGCACAGTAATGAAAGGACTTTAAGAAGCAGAGTTTGGTTCTCTCGGCTTTTTGTTCTAAGAACCTGCCTACATTCTCCTCTCCCAAATCTGGTTTGGGAATTCTGCTCATCTGAGACAATCTCACTGGACATAATAAAGAGAAATGGACTGAGAATTAGGAGAATTATGTCCAACCTCTACAAATAATTACTTGTCATCTCAAGCCAACCTCTTTATTTCTCCAGGGGTTTCTGAGGATCTGATGTGCCCTTGTCTCATCCACACCCATGCACACCCACATCCATCAAGCTCAGACTTACCCTGGGTGCACCTCTATGTCCAAAGAAGGTCGGCTTGGGTGCCAATTTCTCCCTCTCCTGAAGGCAGGGAGAGTGAGTCCCAAATGGCACCACATAGAGACATAAAAGGATAAGAAAAAAGGGCAACCCAACAGCCACTTGTAGAGCTGAAAAAGTTGGAATGAAAAAGTGATGAAAAAGTAAAGAGGAATGGAGAACCATCCCAAGCAAATAAGTATCCCCCAAAATAGTTATAGTAAATATCTAATCCATGGGTTCATTGGCTCTATGAACTCACAGATTTACTATTTCTCTCAGGTCCCCCACATTTTAATTATTTGAAAGTAAAAGGCTATCCAAATACAAGCATGATTATTAACTTAAAATTACTGCAAATGCATCTTGGAGTGTGAAGTCAAGTGGGCCTCAGGAAGCATTACTACCAATAAAGCTAGTGGAAGTGATGGAATTAAAGCTGAGCTAATTAAAATACTAAAAGATGATGGTGTTAAAGTGTTGCACTCAATATGTCAGCAAATTCAGAAAACCCAGCAATGGCCACAGGACTAGAAAAGGTAAGTTTTCATCCAAATTCCAAAGAAGGACCATGCTAAAGGATATTCAAACTACTGGACAATTATGCTCACTTTCCATGCTACTAAGGTTATGCTCAAAATCCTTCAAGCTAGGTTTCAGTAGTACTTGAATCAAGAACTTCCAGATGAACAAGCAGGGTTTCGAAAAAGCAGTGGAACCAGAGATCAAATTGCCAACATCTGTTGGATCATAGAGAAACCAAGGGAATTTCAGAAAAACATCCACTGCTGCCTCATTGACTACAAGAAAGCCTTTGTGTGGAACGGAACAAACTCCTGAAAATTCTTGAAGAGATGGGAATACCAGACCATCTTACCTATCTCCTAAGAAACCTGTATGCCAGTCAAGAAGCAACAGTTAGAACCTTACTTGAACAATGGACCGGTTCCAAATTGGGAAAAGGAGTACAACAAAGCTATATACTGTTACCTTGTTTATTTAACTTATATGCAGAGTATATCATGCAAAATGCCAGGCTGAATGAGTTACAAACTGGAACCAAGACTGTTGGGAGTAATATTAACAATCTCAAATATTTAGATGATACCACTCTAATGGGAAAAAGTGAAGACAAACTAAACAGCTTCTTGATGAGGGTGAAAGAGAAGAGTGAAAAAGCTGGCTTAAAACTCAACACTAAAAAAACTAAGATCATGGCATCCAGTCACATCACTTCATGGCAAATAGAATGGGGAAAAGTGAAAGTTGTGACAGATTGTCTCTTCTTGGACTCCAAAATCACTGGGGATGCTGACTGCAGACATGAAATTAGAAGACACTTGCTTCTTGGAAGGAAGGCTGTAACAAACAAGCATATTAAAAAGCAAAGACATCACTTTGCTGACCAAGGTCCATATAGTCAAAAATATGGTATTTCCAGTAGTCGAGTAAAGATGTGAGAGTTGGACAATAAAGAAGGCTGAACACCAAAGAATTTGTTTTCAACCTGTGGTGCTGAAGAAGACTCCTGAGAGTCCCTTGGACAGTAAGGAGATCAAAACAATCAATCCTAAAGGAAATCAACCCTGACTATTCATTGGAAGGACTTATGCTGAAGCTCCAATACTTTGGCCACCTGATGCAAACAGCCGACTCACTGGAAAAGACCTTGTTACTGGGAAAGAATGAGGACAGGAGGAGATGGGGGTGACCAAGGATGAGATGGTTGGATGGCATCACCAATTCAACAGATATGAACTTGGGTGAGCTCCAGGAGATGGTGAGGGACAGGGAGGCCTGGCGTGCTACAGTCCAGGAGGTCACAAAAAGTCAGACATGACTTAGCAACTGAACAACAACAAAAAATTACAAATACAAATTAACAAGGGAATAAATTGTACAGGAGGCAGGAAGGAGAGGGAATGTTAAGGAGTAGCTTCTCAGAAGGAGGAGGAGTTTGATTGGTTATGAGAAAGCTCTCAAGCCCTTAAAGATCAGCCTAAAATGTGCAGGTATTGATGGCAGAGAGGAATAGTGGAAGGGATACTAGTTGAAAGAAATCCAAATACAAAGCAGACTTTACTACTTTTTAATTTTGTGACTCAGACTTATTGTTGAACCTCTCTGAGTATTCATTTTCTTCATTCTGAAAAATGGAGCTATTCTGCTACTAGTATTGCCTCATGTAATTGATATGACACTACTGACTCATCATAGACCCTCAATAATAGTTGTATTTCTCTCTCTCCCCCATTCCTTTCTTAAACACACATACACAAACACACAGACTAATCACAATACCTGTTATCACTGGCAATACCCCAATATTTACTATTATATACCTCTGAGGATTTAACTATTTGTATATTTTAAAATTACCATCCATGTCACTTTCAAACCTAGCTCTCCGGCTCTAACCTCTCAGTTTCATGAGCATACTACAGCACGTATTTCTTCTTCTTCCATTACTTGTAATCTGGTAACGTCTCATTCTAGCTAAAATTCGGAAATAAAAAAAGAGTTCATTATTGTCCCCTCTAAGTTCCTGCCCCCAAAAACATTTCCTACAATTCACCAGCCACATACACACATAATGGCAACACTACCAATCCTGTTTTTCTCTTCCCTGCATCCTTGGACAAGTCAGGAAGCAAGCACTCCTTGTTTAACCAGTAATGATAAAAAGAGACATAGACAGAAGCAGGTTCTCCTGGTTTCTCAGTAAGGGTGCTGAGAGTTAACTCCATTCTCAAAACAGCTTCATGTACAGCTCTGATTCTTATTTTTTTCCATATTAGGACAAAGAATGAAGAGGAAAGCAGTGGCACAGGCAGATATTTCTGCTTCTGTGGAAGTCTTCAGACATGACAGAGACTCACCAGGGACTGCTTTGAAGGACTAAGATGTATCCAGGGGATATCTGCATGTGGTTCTTGAGTTGAAAATAGTAATATTTGAATACAAACTAAAAGAACTATGAAGTGTACCATCACTGGCCAAATAAAAATAAAACACCCTCTACCCTCCCTAAAACTACTCCAATCTGTTCCCCGAAAGTTAATGAGACAAAATACTTATTTTCCTAGAAGGAGAATGTCTCTTTAGAAGAGGGACTGCTTAGCCTGGGAAATGCTATGACAGGATGTTACGACAGGCCATGTAGGGTTGTGAGTTTGATCACAAGGAGCATGCTTAAGTAACAAGATAAATGAGTTTCAAAACAATACAGTGGTGCTTTGCTTGTTCTGCTCAGTAAAGTACAGACATTAAAGCCAGAGCTGGAAGAATCAGGCAAGGCTCCACCCACAAGACATACCTTCTCCTTCCAAATGGATCAAGTAGATGGCCACAGGCCATGAAAGCAAAACCATCATAGATATGCTGCTCAGGTGTACGTAGGGAGCTAAGATCTGTGAGAAAATTGAAAAGTCAGCCCGAACACATCTAGATAGACAGGGCTACAACTAAGAATGGTGCTTACCTGCAGTGACAGCCCGATGGTGAGCCACCTTTCTTTCCAGTAAGTTAATAAAATCCATAACAAAAGTGAGAAAAACGGAATCATTAACAAAATCAGGATCTGGGGAAACAAAAAGAATGTCCTGACTTCCATGCAGTAGGCTTTCATCATAACTATCCTTGAGAAATGTATATTTGTTCTCACAATTTCAGTGACCTTATTCCTCATCTCCTTAATCTAACCACCCCTCAGGCCCCCAGTACTACTTGGATTTAATCTTATTGCTGCCAAGCCTAAGTTATGTAGCATGGCTGGAAAAAAAATTATACAGCTATATGGTCTAATGTATTTACTAATTAATTATTTCCACCTCAGCTGGGTCTTCAATACTGCTTGGCATATCTCACCAAGTTTCAACAATGGCCATTTTAAATATTCAATACCACTTTAAGTGACTGAGTAAAATCACAAGTCAACAGTATTTGTAATTGCCTTTTTAACATATGTTTTTCCCAAAGAGACTATAAGCTTATGAGGTCAAGGACAATATTTGGGTAAGATCATATTCTCTCTGTCTTTAAGAGGCAGTGTCTCACTTCCTGACACACAGTAGTCATTCAGCAATTATCTGTTGGACAGATTTTAAAAATCTACTATTCATTTTATAGCGAAAGAACACTGAAACCAAGAAAAACAAGAACCAAGAACACTGAAAAATAAGAAGACACAATTTTAACTTGTTCCCCTTCAAATGTAGTTTTCCTACATCTGTGGTGCCCTCTAGAGACTTCTGTACCTATGAAAGCAACTGAATCCATGATCAAACCTCACAAAATAATTCCAGGCCTTGCTGCCTGCAAAGGTTAATTTTTGAAATTCCAGCTGAGTTATTTCAAATCCTGAAAGATGATGTTGTTAAAGTGCTACACTCAATATGCCAGCAAATTTGGAAAACACAGCAGTGGCAAAGGACTTGGAAAAAGTCAAGTTTTCATTCCAACAAAAAAGGGCAATGCAAACGAATATTCAAACTACCACACAACTGGACTCATTTCACATGCTAGCAAGGTAAAGCTCAAAATCCTTTTAGCTAGGCTTCAACAGTATGTGACCCAAGAACTTCCAGATGTACAAGCTGGATTTAGAAAAGGCAGAAGAACCAGAGATCAAATTGCCAACATCTGTTGGATCATAGAAAAAGCAAGGGAATCCCAGAAAAACATCTACTTCTGCTTCATTGACTATGCTAAAGCTTTTGACTGTGTGGATCACAACAAACTGTGGAAAATTTTTAAAGAGATGGGAATACCAGACCACCTTACCTGTCTCCTGAGAAACCTGTATGCAGGTCAAACAGCAACAGTTAGAACCTTACATGGAACAGCAGATTGGTTCCAAACTGGGAAAGGAGTATGTCAATGCTGTATATTGCAACCCTGCTTATTTAACTTATATGCAGAGTACATTATGCAAAATGCCAGGCTTGATGAAGCTCAAGCTGGAGTCAAGGTTGCAGAGAGAAATATCAACAACCTCAGATATGCAGATGACACCACTCTAATAGAAGAAACCCAAGACAAACTTTAGAGCCTCTTGACGACAGTGAAAGAGGAGATTGAAAAAGCAGACTTAAAACTCAGCATTCAAAAAACTAACCTCTTGGCATCTGGTCCCATCACTTCATGTCAAACAGATGGGGAAAAAAAGGAAACAGTGACAGACTTTATTTTCTTGGGCTCCAAAATTACTGCAGATGGTGACTGGAGCCACAAAATTAAAAGACACTTGCTCCTTGGAAGGAAAGCTATGACAAACCTAGACAGTGTATTAAAAAGCAGAGGCATCACTTTGTTGACAAAGGTCCGTCTAGCTAAAGCTACAGTTTTTCCAGCAGTCATATATGGATGTGAGAGTTGGACCATAAACAAGGCTGAGCACCAAGTATTGATGCTTTTCAACTGTGGTGCTGGAAAGGACTCCTGAGAGTCCCTTGAACAGAAAGGAAATCAAACCAGTCAATCCTCAAGGAAATCAATCCTGAATATTTTTGGAAGGACTGATGCTGAAGCTGAAGCTCCGATACTTTGGTCACCTGATGCAAAGAGTCAACTTACTGGAAAAGACTCTGATGCTAGGAAAGACTGAGGACAGAAGAATTTGGCCACAGAGGATGAGATTGTTGGATGGCATAATCGACTCAATTAAGATGAGTTTGAGCAAACTCTGGGAGATAGTAAAAGACAGGGAAGCCTGGTGTGTGGCAGTCCATGGGGTTGCAACTGAACAAAAACAAAGGAAGAAATATTTCAATTGTAACCAACTCTTCCTGAGAATAAAGAGGAAATTCTCTCTAAATTGTTTTTTGAAGCCAACAAAAACACTGATACTCAAACTGAACAAGACAATTACAGGAAACAAAACCTACAGTCCAATCTCTTCTATACATAGACACAAATAGATGTGAAAATTTGGGGAAAAAAACTGTTAGTAGACCAAATGCCTCATAACACAAATATTTAATAGACAAATCAGACTCAACATGAATTTCATGTGATTCTGTGATCTTACTCAACACTAAGCTTTACTAATGATTTAAGGGAACTGACAATTATAAGGTACAAACAGTTTCCTTTAGATAAATCTGACTGTCAAATGTCAAAAAAGGTCTTTCCTTTCCTGTATTAGGATACATGCTCTGGTCTGGGACTTAAAGCATGAGGTGTGTTTTGAGCAAAGTATGAGAAAACATTTTTCTACAGAAGAAGTCTTTTGCATCATGGTGCATCCTTTTCTTATATATTCCATTAACTATACAACTCCAGCCAGCCATGTCTCTCACCCTATAAATCTATAACTTCAAGGTTTATTTATTACAAGCAACCTAGATATACAGGTTAGAAGCTGCTAGAAATTTTCATAGATAAGGACTCACCATTATCTTTTGGCTAATTAAAATGTCTAGTACATTTATACATGTTTTGATGTGAAGGCTCGGTTATTAGCTATTTAAGAAGTTTTGATTGAGGTCATTAATTGTTCTTTGAGCATGCCTAGGTAGAAGAGAATGCACTATAGGCCTGGTGCTCTTTCCATCTAGGTTTGTTCTTTGCACGTTGAAACTCCAAGCCCTAAAGAAATTCCCTTGCCAGGGAGATTTGAAAGCCAAGGGTTGAAAGGCCCAACCAAGTTAGTCATCTTCTAAGGGTATTCCAACTCTTCTAATACCCAGCTCCACCACTTCTCATTGGCTATGGATTCATAACTGGAATTAGATCACAGAATATCTCGAGAGATGAAGGCTTCATTAAATATATTGACAAAAAAAATAAAAACCCTGTGTGTGGGAATGAATTCTAAAGGTGCTCACTATACAAGGAGAAAGGAACATAATATTAAATCAGGCTGAATTTATTGATATGGGCTTCCCTTATGGCTCAGCTGGTAAAGAATCTGCCTGCAATGCAGGAGACCTGGGTTTGATCCCTGGGTTGGGAAGATCCCTGGAGAAGGGAAAGGCTACCCACTCCAGTATTCTGGCCTAGAAAATTCCATAGGCTATACATATATAGTCCATGGGGTCGCAAAGAGTTGGACACGACTGAGCGACTTTCACTCACTGTGCACTAACCAGCAATTCTAAGCTCAATATATAAAGTACATATATATTTAGTTATATAGTTATATATAAGTTCAATATATAAGTATCCAGGTATTATGCATCTCTAATTGTTTATTTGAAAACTTCACTCAATAGAAACCCATGCTTAATAAACTGGGATGCCAGCTATTTCTTTGTACTGTATGAAAGAAAGAAGACCATGCAGCACAGTGGATGAGAATCTGCCTAACAATGCAGGGGACATGGGTTTGATCCCTCATCCAGAAAGATTCCACATGCCACTGAGCAACTAAGTTCATGTGCCACAACTAATGAGTCAGTGCTCTAGAGCTGGTAAGCCACAACTACTAACCAATGCTCTATAGCCCATAAGCCACAAGTTCTGAGTCCATGTGGTGCAACTACTTAAGCCTATGTGCCTAGAGTCTGTGCTCCACAAAAACAGAAGCCACCCACAATGAGAAGTCTGTGTACAACAACAAAGAATAGCCCTTGCTTGCCACAACTAGATAAAGCCAGTGTACAGCAAAGAAGACTCAGTGGAGCCAAAAATAACAAATAAAGAAAATTAAATTTATTTCTTTGTGCCAGTACCATACTGTCTTGATGAACATGGCTTTGTAGTACAGCTGAAGTCAGGCAGGTTGATTCCTCCAGTTCCATTCTTCTTTCTCAAGATTGCTTTGGCTATTCGAGGTTTTTTGTATTTCCATACAAATTGTGAAATTATTTGTTCTAGTTCTGTGAAAAATACCGTTGGTAGTTTGATAGGGATTGCATTGAATCTATAGATTGCTTTGGGTAGTATAGCCATTTTGACAATATTGATTCTTCCAATCCATGAACACGGTATATTTCTCCATCTGTTTGTGTCCTCTTTGATTTCTTTCATCAGTGTTTTATAGTTTTCTATGTATAGGTCTTTTGTTTCTTTAGGTAGATATACTCCTAAGTATTTTATTCTTTTTGTTGCAATGGTGAATGGTATTGTTTCCTTAATTTCTCTTTCTGTTTTCTCATTGTTAGTGTATAGGAATGCAAGAGATTTCTGTGTGTTAATTTTATATCCTGCAACTTTACTGTATTCGTTGATTAGCTCTAGTAATTTTCTGGTAGAGTCTTTAGGGTTTTCTATGTAGAGGATCATGTCATCTGCAAACAGAGAGAGTTTCACTTCTTCTTTTCCTATCTGGATTCCTTTTACTTCTTTTTCTGCCCTGATTGCTGTGGCCAACACTTCCAAAACTATGTTGAATAGTAGTGGTGAGAGTGGGCACCCTTGTCTTGTTCCTGATTTCAGGGGAAATGCTTTCAATTTTTCACCATTGAGGGTGATGCTTGCTGTGGGTTTGTCATATATAGCTTTTATTATGTTGAGGTATGTTCCTTCTATTCCTGCTTTCTGGAGGGTTTTTATCATAAATGGATGTTGGATTTTGTCAAAGGCTTTCTCTGCATCTATTGAGATAATCATATGGTTTTTATCTTTCAATTTGTTAATGTAGTGTAAATTTAAAAAAATTTAAACATTGTTCCCTTTTAAAATAGTATGGAAGAAAAAAATCCAATAATTTATTGACAAAAAAGATATCATTGTTGATGTTATTCAGTCACTAAGTCGTGTCCAAAACTTTGCAACCCCATGGAATGCATCACACCAGACTTCTCTATCCTCCTCTATCTTGAGCAGTTCGTTCAAATTCATGTCCATTCAGTCGGTGATACCATCCAACCATCTCATCCTCTGTAGCCACCCTCTCTGTCTGCCTTCAACAGTTCCCAGTATAAGGGTCATTTCCAAAGAGTCAGCTCTTCACATTAGGTAGCCAAAGTATGGAGCTTCAGGTTAACCATCAGTCCTTCCAAAGAATATTCAGGGTTGATTTCCTTGAGATTGACTGGTTTGATCTCCATGCTGTCCAAGAGACTCCCAAGAGTCTTCTCCAACACCACAATTCACAGGCATCAATTCTTCAGAGCTCAGCCTTGTTTATGGTCCAACTCTCACATCCATATATGACTACTGGAAAAAACATAGTTTTGACTATATGGACCTTAGTTGGCAAAGTGATGCCTCTGCTTTTTAACATGCTGTCTAGGTTTGTCACAGCTTTCCTTCCAAGGAGCAAGCATCTTTTAATTCTGTGGCTGCAGTCACCATCCACAGTGATTTTGGAGCCCAAGAAAATAAAATCTGCCTGTTTCCACTGTTTCCCCATATATTTCCCATGAAGTGGTGGGACCAGAAGCCATATTCTTCACTTTTTGAATGTTGAGTATTAAGCCTGTTTTTCACTCTCCTCTTCTGCCTTCATCAAGAGGCTCTTTAGTTCCTCTTCACTTTTTGTCATTGAATTGGTATCATCTGTATATCTGAGGTTGTTGATATTTCTCCCGGCAATCTTGATTTCAGCTTGATTCATCCAGCCCAGCATTTTGCATGATGTACTCTGCATATAAGTTAAATAAGCAAGGTGACAATATACAGTCTTGATGTACTCCCTTCCCAATTTTGAACCAGTCTGTTGTTCCATCTCCAGTTATAACTGTTGCTTCTTGACCTGCATTTGGGTTTCTCAGGGGGCAGATAAGGTGGTCCAGTATTCCCATTTCTTTCACTTCATTGACTATGCCACAGTCTTTGACTGTGCGGATTACAACAAACTGAGAATAATTCTTAAAAAGAAAATGTTGTTGGAATGCTATCACCTATGGTCAGCTAACCCACTCCATATTGTGCCCTACAGGAGGTCTCAGAGGACACAGAAACACACTGGTGAAGAGAGTGTCAGCATCCTTGAAAAGCACTGCAGTGGCCATGCTTTATGCCTGGATAAAGGTGAGAGGTGCTGCCACAGAAACTGGCTTCCTGAGTTCAAAGGCAGTGATGAGATTCTGCTGTGGCAGAGGCCAAGTAGCAGTGCTCACTGCCAGAGGCAAGGTAAGCATGGTTTCTGTAATAGACACAAGCCTGGAATGGTAATCAGAATGGTTTAACCCACAGGGACTCTTGGTAGTGACAAATTGCTCATGGTATCCAAACTCCAAAACCTATGGGAATCTCAGTAACACCTATATGTTCATGCTCCAATTTCCTCTTTCCCTGCATGATCTTATTACTTCAATTTCCATTCTTTCTAACTCTTAAATGTATACTTTCAATTCATACTTCCCTTTTGAATAAGAAGAAAGTTAAGGGGACCACTCAGGGCATTTGACATGTTTCTGCATTTGAGGAAATACAAGGAAAACCATGCCTGAAAAAGTCTATAAATACCAAGAGGCTGTGCTGGAGATGCTCAAGCCCATGGCAGAACTAGACAAGGGAGGTAATGCTGGAAATGAGCTGCATGTCTTCAGATGCTGGGTCAGTAATGCCTGTCTCCTCAGAACAAAAACAGATCCTTTGTACTTTCTTGTGTATTTTTTTCCCTTGTGTATTTTTAAAGGGCTCCAAACTCAGGGAGAATAAAAAAGACACCAGCAGAGAAATTTTAGATGGTACAGGAAGACAGGCATTGAATCCACCAAGAGTTGCAGTCAAGATCTCAACAGAAGGATCTCTGAAAACACACATGGAAAAATCCATGCAGTAAAGAGCCAAAAATTGCAATTTCTTTGTCCTAATGGAACCAAACCCTCCCTGTGGGACTGTGTTCTTTACCCTATCTCTCCTTCCCCTGAGCCTTACTCTGGAAGAAAGGTAAAAGGATAATCATGTTCTCTTCACCACTGTTGGTTTCCAGGCCTGGGTCATGTGAAATAGGGTAAGGAAAATGTTTCATAAAGTTGGAATTCATACAATGAACTGAAATGTTTAATAATTGAAATGGAATGCCCTTGTAACTATGAAGGACTGGGAAATTAATGGAGCTTGCTCAAGATTTTATGGGGATGGGAATAACAGACACACATAGTAAGTTTAACACAGACTAGTGAGAAAAAATAACATTTGGGTTCAGCATGGTCAGTAAGTCAGTTCCACCTGTTAGAAACTGAATCATTTCAGTTGAAATAGTGTAAGCAGATTTCTTTTTTCTAAGAGAGACAAAGAAAGGGAAGCTCTGTATTTAATACTTCGTGCCAAAGAGTCACATTCAGTCCTTGTCTTGAGTCTCCTTTTGAAGATTCAGATGCCCTACCTTATGATACCAGTGCAGGTGTAGTCGCTGTTTTTCCCAACACAACAAAAGTCCAAGTACCTGAAACAAACAACAACAAAAAAAAAAACAGAGGAGAATAATTTGAAATGAAATCACCACGATGCTGCCCAAAACACTGCTGTCAACTCAACATTCCTTTCAGTCCAGCATTACATTCACTTCTCACTACACCTGCTCTTTTCAGCATCAAGGGTTTGTCACACTATTCCTCT